ATCGTAATAGGTTTTATAGGATGTTCGTCAAAACACAAAGAGGGGAAGAGGTCGCGAGAGATCTATTCATCGACGGGCTCTGTAGCCGGACAATGAGGGTGAAACTGCGAAAGCAGTTCTCCCCAATCAATCATACCCTGCAACAGATCATGACCGCGGCGGAAGAGATGGAACGAAAATTTGCCGCCAGTTTCCTAGAAGGAAAGGATTAGCCCAGGGAAGGGGATTCCTCAGAACAGGCCAGAGCAAAGACCGAGCTAGCTGCACTTCAAAACAAATTTGAAAACATGGGCTTTGTCTTTGGCCCTGTCACCTATCTAGAACAAATCGCAACCAAGAGGCTAGTACCGGATACAGCTACGGGATTGACTGTGCCGGTTATGGCCGCCTCCGCTCCTTCCCCGGATTCCTCAGCAAGGCCAAGCGAATTGAGTGCCATACTGGAACTAACCCGAACATTAGTTAACTTGATGCAGTAAACTAAGAAGGAACAACGTGAGTACAATGCCCAGATAGAATCGTTAATGAGGTCGATGTGCCCCATTGTCGTCAGAACCGCACTAGGGGCGCCAGGAATCGCCCCCGCTCAGGCCATGGGCGGGGCAGCGACAAATATGAGCGCTTGTTACACGTGTTACCAGCCAGGCCACATAGCCTGAGACTGTCCGCTCCGACCTGCACAAGTTCGAGTTGGGACCCCCCCGTGGCCGCTACGCCCGTGGCCAATGGGCCAGGGAGGGTGGGCACAATGATTGAAGAAATGGAAGGAGGAGAGAGTGCAGTAGCCACTACTGAAGAAGCTGCGGAACTTATCCCGCTCGACCAATACGTGGCATTGGGTTACCCGGGATTGGGAATGATCGGAACCATCCGACCCGCCAATGAACAGCGAGAGATGGCCGAATGGAGACCTTCTCCGTGAGAGATGGAGTCGGGCGGTCCTGCCTTCGTTACTGGAGAGATCGTCGTGCTGGACATCGTCCGTGCTCTAGATCATCGAATTCCTTTGCCTATCGGACACCTGCTGTCCATATCGGAGCAAGTCAATGAGCGCACGCTACAACATTGCAAAACAAACATAAAATAATTTGCTCTCGTCAAATCGGGGGCTCGGAAAGGAAAAGCCCCGGCCCTCGAAGATGGGCCGAATGTTCTTAGTGCTTCGGACCCAATACGGTTAGGAATACTACAAAAAAATATGATCATTTCTTGCGAATTAAAGACATCCGTGGAAATCAACGAAATGCGATATCGAGGTATGGGGAATCCCCTACAACACTATTACTGATTCGAGAGCCGCGGTACCGGCAATTTCATTGAGAGTCGTAGAACGGGCAAGAAGAAGGAGGATTTGACCACCTTGATGGAAGGAGATTATCTCTTCTAAGCGGACGAAGAGAAAATCAAAGCGGTAGGAAAAATTGCGAACGTCACGTTTCGATTAAAAAAAGTTAATACACTAGGAGACGTTATAGTACTGGATGTGAACACCTATGATCAGGGTTGTCAGGCGGGGGCCCCCGGGGGCAAAGCCGGGGTAGGGGTTCGACCCCCAGACCCCCGCCGCCGGGGTGCCCCACCCCCGCACACCACAAAACACCCCCGCCGGCGCCCCGACACCCGCACCCCCGGACCCGGCACCCGCACCCCCGGACCCGACACACGCACCCCCGCTGACCCGGGCCCCGGACCC